AGAGAGAGAGAGAGAGAGAGAGAGAGAGAGAGAGAGAGAGAGAGAGAGAGAGAGAGAGAGAGAGAGAGAGAGCAAACTTGTTTTGGCACCCTGCCCATAAATCGGGAGTGAAATGGGTGGGATGAACGGACCTCCAACTACACCATCGACATCAAGAAAGCACCATACTGTCTACACAATTCCCGTTTTGGCCCGGTAGTGGCTTCGAAAGGTCTGGAAAAGGCTGTTGTCCCCCTCCAATGGCCAGGGGGCAAAACACAAAGATGACGTTGGCCGGTAGGGCTAAAACGAAAATAAATCGTGTCTGGGAAAAGTTGGCAAGGGCCGGACATTTTGCAAAGATGGATAGTTCCCGGTGGGGTTATTTTGCAAAGATGGTGTGTCCAACTGGCGTCAGGGCCACTCCGCAAAACGTTTTGGTGTCAGAGGGGTATTCCACTCTACCCACATCGTTTAGGGGCATTTTGCAATCAACTTATAGGGGTATTTATGAAATTACGTAATTTTGCAGGTTATCGTTCCAATTTTAACGGCTGTCCCGAAGGACCATCCTAACCTTATTTCAAAATGTACTCTCACCCAAGAGCCTAGCTCAATGGGTACACCCATGAAGGGCCTCGTTAGACCCTCTTTGAAAATCCTCAGGAATGTCGAAAGTTATGGTTACACCGCGTCCTAAAAAATAAAAATCCTTGAAAAAATGTGAAAACGCTCCAAAGAGATTTCCTTAGGTCCCTCGGAATCCCCAGCCATTGCGTCCTTGGATTCAAGGGGTCCTCGAGAGGTCCCTTGGGCTCAAGGATCCGCGATAGACGGGTCGTCGTTGAGCGTGCGTCGACACGGAAAGTTTCTGTTTTTGCTGGTGCACATGACGTCCGTGGTCCATCGGGCGGACAATATCGGATTCCAACCGGCGGGAGGTCACCAACGGCCTTGTGGTGTTACCGTTCGTGCGTACACGGCCGGGGGTCCCGCTTCGGGTGCGACATACGTCGGAGCGGTGGGGTTCTCCTTTTGCACTTCGTCGGGCGCCGTGTCCAACGGTCGAATATTTCGAAATTTGTTTTATGTGCGGGGTGTGATGTTGTCTCCGGTCGGCCCGTTTGCTGCCATTCACGTGCGCACGTGAGGGTTGTCCGTTCGGTGGTCATCTACACGTGGTGCGTTTCATGGCAGACATCTTTCGGCGGCTACCGCTCCTGTTACTGGCAACTCTTCTGGTACTTCTTCTCGTCTTTTTGCGCGCCTTCGTCGTGCCGCGGCCTCCTAGGCGTAGACACAGACGACAAGTGGATAGGAAGACGACGATGAACAGACAGGACAACTCCGTCGGACAACAAAGATGTTTGATGGATTTCTCCATTACTGATTGGCCCCTATCCGGCCATCGACCCGCCACATATGACCCGTCCTTGTACAATCATCTTCCACCGCACGAGCAGCCGTTGCCGCCGGATCCGAAGGATGCCTGGGTTGAGGATCTGTCGCACACACTTCCTCTGGGGAGTGGATCTACGCAGGAGTGGACGAGCAGGCAGTGCCAGCAGAGGGAAGCAGGGACCACGCACGATTTGTTCACCTCGTTGCTGGAGGAGGGTGTCGACAACGCCGCCACGGAGCTTGTGGACTTGGATTTCGGATTGTGCAGCGGGAGTGGTGCAAGTGGTCCTATCCATGACGGGGGGTGGTGGGAGCGCCGACGTTCGGAGGAGGATCGTACCCTGTCGGTGGGTCGACGAATGGGTGTCGTCCACCGGTCTCGAGTTCCATGGGCGCCAGGCCACTTGGCGAGTCGTCAAGGGCAGTGACACCCACCCGCCCCTCGGTGTCTTCGCCTGCAATGCGGCAGTGGGCGACCGCAAGTGCTGCAATCAATGATGGGACTCCACCGGAAGACATCGGGAGGCAGGCGTGGGAGAACTACCGCCTACAGATGCGGCGTGCTGCCGCGGAGAACATAAGCACCGGTGTGTCCAGGCTGCGTGTGGGGAGCGACGTGGTTGCGGACAACAGCCCTCGGGCGAGTGGGGACGAGTCTCCGGATTCCCGTTACGAAGACGACGCGAAAGACGGTGAGGAGCTGGAGATCCGACCCGTGGCTGCGTGTGGTGGGCGGAGGGGAGGACGCGGACGTAAGCAGAGGGGCGAGTCGCGTGGTGGTCGAGGATCGAAGGCTCATGTGGGCGACAAGAGTGGCAAGCACCCAGCTTGGAGTGTGGAGGAGATGTTGAAGCTCGCTCGAGCGAAGCGGGATCAGCAAGCTCATTTCGAGGGAATGCCGCACAACTACGGCCGCATGCGCAACAGGGAGTGGAAGCTGCTGAACCTACAGAAGCGACTGGCGGAGGTCGGAGTGAACAGGGCAACAGACGACATCGGGAAGAAGTGGGATAACGTCTTCCAGCAGTACAAGAAGGTGCAGCGTTACCAGAACATGTCCGGTGGGAAGAACTTCTTCACATTAACTCCTGCAACGAGAGCGGACGAGGGCTTCAACTTCCGAATGGATGAGCGAGTCTTCAATGAGATCGACAACATGTCGAAAAATAACAAGACCATCTACCCGGACAACGTGGCAAATACGAGCGCCCGCGGAGGAGTGCCGCCAGCAATGGATGGTCACCGCCAGGCGGCCGTTGGTGGAGAGTCCTCTGCTGGTGGAGAGGGGGGTGATGGCATCGACGAAGATGTGGGTTCAGCGTGGGAGTCGGGTTTAGTGCAGGGAGCACGGGCACTCCAGCGAAGAGGAAGAACATGCGGCAGCAGACCTTCGACGCCATCGCCGAAGTCATGGACAAACACGGTGCATTGATGGCGGACACGGTAGAGGGTGCGAGCAAACGGCGGTGTAGCATCCTGGAGCGGCAGTGTGACATCCTGGACCGGGAGGTTGAAGCCCAAAAGCGGCAGTGTGACATACTGGAGAGGCATTACACGACATCTGATGAGGCGAACAGGATTATGTGCACGGCGTTCATGGAGATTGCCAGAGCGATAAGGGACAGATCTTGACGCCGGTGGCGTGAGGTTTGTTAAGCCGTTGTGGTGGATTCGCCCGCGAACTGGCCCGTGGCGAAATGTGGTGCCGCTCCTCCGACAACGACAGAAATCCAGGAAACAAGGTGGGGGATGGTGTGCGCGATGGTCGTGCACCCTTGCGCGCTGCAAAATGTTGAATCGCTGGCCCTCCAAGTCAGGGCCGTCCATTCCCTGGATCGCACTGTCCCTTGGTATTTGGGGTGGTCTGCCCGCATGCGGAATGGGTGATCGTCGCTGCCGTCGCGTGGAGGGGTGTGCTGGACGCCGTCTGGGCGAGATCCGCGAGCCGAGGGAGGGGAAATGGCACCGCGAGCACTATAAAGGTTCGCGCAAGCGCTATCTTGTCCATGTCTTTTGGTTCCCGAGTGCACGCAAGGCCACGCGTGGGGTTTCCGTTGTGCTGCGCGGGGAGTTGAACATCGCCCGCGCAAGACGATCCCTGTCGACTTCCTCTCAAGCGCTGTGGCAGTCCGCTTTCGTTCACGGGGCGTGCGCATCCGACCGTCAGCGAATGGCGCCACATGGCCAGCAGAAGGCGAAGCGTCCACACAGTGGTTCCGACGAAGCAGGTGCAGGGCAAACAGGAAGGGGCCACGTCCCAAAGTCGAAGAAGCTCCGCGTGGGAGACGGGTCGGAAGGCGAGATGGGGGATGACGGGGGAGAGGAGGTGACGCCTATGGACATCACTTCTGCAGGGACGCCTGCGCTCGGGTTCGGCCGAGACGGTGTGAGCAGGCAGCGTATGCTTGCGCTCACCAACCTTGGCGTCCTCACGTCCACGCGCGATGGCGGTGACAGGACGGCTCGTGCGCAAGGAGTTATGTCCGGTGACATTCCGCCGCAGAGGGCCGTGGGTTTTGCATCTACCATTGCATCGTGTCCGAGCGCGGCGATAAAGCTCAGGTCGGTGAGTCTCCATCGCGCCACGTGGAGGCGTCGAACCCAACGATCGTCGGCGCTTCGTCGAGGGCTATGCTTCAATCCGCGCAAGCAGCGAGCGCCTCTGGCCATGCCACCGCCCTCGGTAGTGGAGAAAGGCGAGAATATCGGAGGGTGGAAGAGGCGGGGAGAAAACAGCAGAGGAGGGAGGAGAGTCCGCGTGGGGAAGAAGAGGACGACCAGCCTCTGAGCGCAAGGAAGAAAAGGTCCCGCCAAGAGGAGGAGTTGGAGGCGAAATCGAAGTTGTGGGTAGACGACAAAGCGTTCTGGGCAACCGGCCCCGGACGGATGATCGTGGACGCGATGCATTCCTGTGCGGACTACTTCTGTGTGATCGTCAATGGAGATGCAGGCGCCAACGCTCCGCAAGGCCTCATGATGCCGCCCCCGAAGTCCCGCGCGTGCGGATCGAAGATGGCGCGCAACGAGAGCCAACTCTCAGACGGGCGAGACGAACGGAGAACATGGCAATGCGAGTCATCCACGGGTGGATATTCAGGTTGTCTTAAAGGTTCGATGGTTTCGCCTGAGCGGAGTCCTACGTCACCACAGATTACCCCACCGACCTGGCGAGAGAAGTTTGGCAGAGCTTGGAGTGGTCGAGGATAGTGCCGCCCGTTGTAGTTTACCACACGGTCGCTTTGAAGATGGACATCCCAGTGTGGTTCGCCAGGGCGTATATCGAGAACAGGCTGGAGGACGATGATATGGCCGCGCACCAGGAGGCGACTGTGATGCATCTTGCGTCATGCTTCCACGACGCGCTCCGGGCCGGGTAATGGTGGGACGGCGGTAGATTGTCACACCAGAGACTGAGCAGAATCAGGGATGCTTTCCGCTTGCTTCTCGTCGCGTGCATGTGGGTCATGCGCATGGGAGGCGACGATGCACGCTCCTACGAGGAGGCGTCTTACTACGTGCAGCTGGCGGCGAAGCCTACTCTCGTGGCAGCGTGTTCATCGCCCTTCAACTGGCGCCGCCATGTGATGCACTCGGCGAACGCGGTCTTAGGTCGCCTGCGAAAGCCACCGTTGACACTGGGCGTTTTCCCTGACTACATCCCGGAGTGGGCTTTGTGCGGAGTGCGGTACAACTGCAACGCTGGTCTGGCGGACCCCGACGTCACGGCGAGAGTGAACTGGATGGGGACGGGACCTTTTGAAGGCGATCGGAAGGAGGACGGCACAAAAGACGAAACGGGAGCGTAAGTGTCCTCGATATGACCGTCTTGCGTGACAAGGAAGAAGGTATCGCCCGTGGAGTGAAGCGGTTCGTCATTAAGGTTTGGACATGGCGGGAAATGGAAGTGCCGGATCGGCGGGGGGGGGGGGGGGGGGGGGGGGGGGGGGGGGGGGGGGGGGGGGCTTGCATGGGGGTTCGGAGTCGGGGGATGATGGCGACGAGCGCAGATGGTTAACATGCAGTGACGCGCCTTGCCACGCGAGGGCCCCTTCATAGATTGTGTTCCCGTTTCGCCCCGCCGCACGCTCGCAGTGTGTCTCGTCTCGCGCCGGTGCTTGGTAGCTGTTAACCGACCTCCGAGAGAGGTCGACTTTGTAGGGTATTTGAAGGTGCATTGTGAAGTCAATGCAATGGTTGGTCTGCGCCAGGAATGACGAGCGGCGCCTTTTATTACTCTTTTTTGAAAACGACAGTCTGATTTCGATAGGGTTTTGCGAGTGTGTTCATTGGACGGAGTCTAGCAATGGAACGGTGTGTCCCGTTGGAATATGACGATGCGTTTTCTGAAATCTCTCTTTCTCGTGATTGGTGTGAATGTCCTTTTGTTCGTGCTGATTGGTTGATTGTTTGGAATGGTCGTTGGTTGCCAATGTGATGACAAGTTTGATCAGTGCACCTCAGTACAGACAACTTTGTCAGCAAGCCGATGAACTGATCCAATGATCGGTTCATCGGTTGGCCGCCTGACTTGTCCAAGTTAGGGTGTGATGCTTCGCAAAGTCGGGCATTGGTGGTGGACTGGGTTCCGGTGTGTTGATGAAAACGCACGGAAAACTGCGCAAAAAACGCATTCACGCTCCAGTCCTGCTGAGGAGGCAACACATCAATGAAAGGCGCACACATCGCCCCTAACATACAAACCGCAACACGCAAAATAAAAAACAAAAAATGAAAGACAATAAAACGGAAAAAAACGAAAGAGAAAAAAAAGGTATTTGGATTGCAATCACATACACGAAACCACACCATCATCACAGAGCACCGATAGCCGCACACACGCAGCCGGAACTTCGGTCTACGGTACACAATGGAAAAAAGGAGAACAATAACGAGTCACCTCTGGACAGATCACCCCACCGACAGACACCGTCTTCTTCGAAATCGAAATCGGGCAGCTGCGCGCACTCACTCACAACAAACTGCATCACCGGGCGTTAACAACCTACTACAAAATGGTTAACAAAAAAAAAGGAAAAGAAATGCGGATTAACAGCATCTCCGTCGACGCCTCCGCGAAATTAGCGATCAATGACAACCCGCAGTGAATGTACACAACACCCCAGGGCACGAAACACGCCTGCGACAGCGACAGAACACAGAACGCTTTCGTTGGACGATGACCGCAACACGACCTCCACAATGACGGCAGAGCCACGTGCCGTCGACGCGGTGCACGCCTTCATACGTGTTTCATTCGCTCCGCCAACGCCTCGCCTAGCGCCAACGCATGGGGCCGATTGAAGTTCTCAGCAATGGGGTGGGGTGGATGATCCAACCCCAAGTCCACTCGCCGCCGCACGCCATTAGCATCCACCTCCCATAGCAAGTTTTCGTCGAACTCAATGCCAGCGTCAAGGAGGATGTTGTGCAGAATGCACACGACGTGGAACTGTTGTGGGAGAGTGTCCATATTCGTCTTGTGTGTGCGGAGGAACAACCTCCACATCCCTTTCAATCTCCCGAAAGTTGTCTCCACTGGTCCCCTGGCGACCTTTTGCTTGTTGTCGAACCTCTCCTCGTCGGGGATTTGATCGGTCCCCACGTGCGGCACGACAATCCACTCCAGTGGCGGATATCCGTTGTCGCCCATAATGTAACCGTGTGTCCTCACTCCGAACGGCAACACAACAGGAGCTCCACGGAAAAGATCCCCCTCCTCCGCACGCGCCCACAGACTGGAGAGCTGAAGCACCCGAATGTCATGGCAGCTCCCCGGGTAACTGACAAAAACGTCTGTGATGCGCAAGTCCAGGTCCACCACCACCTGCGCTACAACAGAGAAACGATGCTTCCGGTCGAAGTAGTTCTCCGAAGGAGCGTTCGCCGGTTTGTCGACGTAAACGTTCGTGCAGTCTATGCAGCCATAACAGTTGGGAAAACCCTTCGCCTCGAAGGCACGCAGAACGAGCGTACGACGCATCCTAGTAGGCTAAACGATCTTGTCACTGTACACCGTCAGGAGCGCCCTCGTAACGTCCTCCACTGCGATCAACCCAGATGCGCTCCCTATTCTGAATGACGATGTGCTGCTCTCGTACGTCTCCCTGCTCGCCCATCTGTACAACGCATATGCGATGATATGATCCGGCTGCAAAAGAACCCTGTAGAATGTCACCCGCTGCAGAAGAAGGGACAACACCTCCACGATCTCCATGAACACCCTGGTGGACATCCTCAACTTTTCCTTGTAGTACTCGTCTGAGGCATCGTCCATCTTCCGCAGATCCTCCCACGTGCCATACGTCCTTCTCCTCATCCACCACCTTGGAGTCGCCCGCGGTATCACCCCAGATGACATGGCGGCGCACATCTGGATAATGGATTCGGACATGGACACGCAGTCTGGCGCCACCATCACGTGCTGGAGGAGCTCACGCTGCCTGCGAATAGACAATCTCGTCCTCAACCGCGCCGTCGTTCTCTCGATGCGACATCACATGGCCACCGCCGACACTGCTGCAACCACCGCATTTCTCTCCACCTTGCTCAAGGTCTTGCCATGAACCTCTTGCGACACGTGTTCCATCACGATGCTCCGACGGTGCCTTGTTGAACACGCACAACAGACGGACGACTGGACCCTCGTCGCACACTGTCCCAGCGGACGTTGGAGTGGTCGAGGGCAGCTCCTCGTACACGAAACACGGGCGCGCGAAGCTATGGCGAGCCACCGGATCGTCGTTGTCTGCAGGAAGAGGAAAGTGGGACACGCACCACTTTACGCGCTCCAACGTCGTCACCTTTCGCGCCGCACCGGTTGACGATCGGATGAACGAGTCGCCAATAGCGATGGGCGCCGCAAATCGCCCGCGCACACGTTTCGCACACTGGTACCTCCAGGGGTGGTAACGCCACGGCGCTCCGGTGCGTATGTAATGACGGTTTGAAATTCGAATTTCGATAAGGAACCTTCGCGCCTCTTTTCGCAGCGCAGCATCGCAGGCCTCCTTGCGCCGCCAGTGGACCACGCCTGACGACGGACGGACATCCCTTGACGACGACGGACATCCTCCCCCGTGGCCTTGTATATGCGTATGAAATTGGCCGCTGGATACCTCCAAGGTTTTTCCTTGGGACCCTTTCGTTTAGGACGTGGTGTAAAGACGCTGCCGAATTCCTTGAAATTTTCCAAGGACTTTGTCCTAATTCCTGAGGATTTTTCAAGGAGGGTCTAACAGACCTGCGTTCGAATCCAGATGATAGAACTTGATGAGTAAAAGCCAACTGCTAATGAATTGCCTGGGGCCGGTCAGCTCAATGATAATATATATATATATATATATATATATATATATCGTCAAATAGAATATATATATATATATATATATTTTATATCAATGATAATATCTCAAGGCCGTCGCCCCCTTGTTTTTGTTTTTTAAATAAACAAAATGTACTCTGAAAAAAAAAAAAAAGACTCTGACGAGTCTGACCGCAATTACGACAGCAGTATATCAAAATGTACTCTGGCCGCGTCATCCTTGCGCAAGGGCCATGCTACCGTAATCTTCTCTGTATCGTTCCAATTTTAACGGATGTCCCGAAGGACGCCTTCAGAGTTTCAAAACGAAGTAGGGAAAATAAAATGTTAGTAGGAAAAGCAAAAGGGTTAGCCGTTCGATAGACGGTTGAGGAGGCGATCGGGCGATGTGGGTGGTCATCGGCCAGCTGTGGGCAGGGGCGGGTGCTTCCGCGGCTTCATCGGGTCAAATCTCGTCTGGTGACTATGGTGTTGATGATAGCGCGGAACACGGGAAGGCCGCGTGGCTACCGGTGGCGAGTAGAGGGGGATGAAGAGCGGGAAGAAGGAGAGGTACCAATGGTAGCACTGATGAAAACGCTCAACGGATTTCGGCGATCCAATGATGGCTAGCTAAGTGGTCAAATCTACGCCGCCATCTGTGTGTGTGTGTGTGTGTGTGTGTGTGTGTGTGTGTGTGTG